TTCTGTGTCTGGTAAACTTTTTTTATTCTAAACAATGTCGCCACTTCTATCCATAAAACCCTAGCAACGGTCAACATTTATAAACCTTTCCGCTATGACAAAAAAAGGTCAATTGAGACTATATTGTTGTCTGAAGCACATAGACAGCTTGTACAGACAACCATTACTAATTTATTACTGATCGTGTCCGCACTATTTGCTGGTTCTTTATATAACTGTTTTTGCCCCTAAATTAGATATCGTCTGATAGGGTTTACACTATGTGTGTGTGTTTTATAGCTGTTAAGCATCATGTTTCTGTGTTTACTCAGGTGAGTGTCATCTATGGTTGTTTGGGGTTAAACGTCTTCGAAACAACCCGGGTCATATGTGTACGGGTGCCTAGGCAGACGCCGACTGAAACAGAAAGTAGATAGAAAAAAAGAAGACAGAAAAAATAGGAAACGAAAAAGATCATAAGTGTTGCAATTGGGGCATCAGATCAATTTTGGTCTCAGCCATGTCCCCTTCGTAAAAATACACGGAAGAGAGACCCCGATTCTACAGGGAGCCCCATATTAGTCGCTCCAATAAGATAACAAATTCAAATTCAAATTCAAATCCAAAAAATTATTTGCACATTTGTAACTTCAAAGTAGTTTAAAGGCATAATAGTAAAACACAGTGACATACATTCATAGACATATACATGTAGAAAAGTCGCAAGGTGATAGCTTATATTTCTTATATACATTAACATGAACAAAATTAACATAGCTTCAAATGGAAAATTTGATTTAAACATTTTTAGCTGCAAAGTCCATACTTTATACTGTCAGCAACAAACATAATGATTATATATAAGAAACAATCAACATACTATATACACATAAACATTAGAAAGATACATATTTACCATTTATCTTAAATGTGCATAGCATCCGACGTACTTAAAGATGCTTGGTATGAACAATGACTTTAACGAGAGTACTGAACGTGCAGTTTGTTTTGTTCTGTGTATAAAAGTCCATAAAAAGGTATGCAGATTTACTATGTGATTTGATAAAGGTATTAAGAACTTATAAGTTGAAACTAGTGTCAGAAAATCATCAAAATACATAATAAATAAATAAATGATCATCAGGTCAGCTATCCAAGTTGTATGCCAACCCGAATGCAAGACCCTGTCTCTTGTTCTGTTTGATTAAACTCAACATCGACACAGTAAGGTTGTAACTGGGCATGAAACGGTAAAATGGTATTCGAATCGGCTAAAGAAATCGACGGATATTGCATGGATGGTTTCTCATTGTCGTCGAAGTTTTGTTCTATGCTAGACTTTCCGATCCGTGTCAAGGGTTAGCATGCACATTGAACAATCATTGAGAGCAGTATCTTTGTTTTCTTACATTTCTTGTTCTTGTTCTTCATCTAACGATGACCAAAGTGTTATTGATGATAGTTCTAATAGATATCCCTTTGCGTAGGGACCAAAGCATCCTTATGGATCTTGTTGAAGACCATGATTAATTGTGGTTTATATTTATATTTTGCTTGTTGCTACGCAACTCCCCTTCTGTTTCAACAGTAGTGTTACCTAGTACACCGACGAGTTTCAGAGGGACGAAACAACAGTATGATACAGTGCAAGTCATTTTTGCCATACTGTATCTATTTTCAATATTTTAGGGTGCAATCTCCCGTGTATATGTGTGTGTGTGTGTTCCGATCACCTCTCTACGTGTTCAATTGGCGTGATTAGCGAGGACGTCAGAAAATCGATGAAGCTCTAGCTTCAAATGAGTAAGTTATTAGGCCTCGTGTATCACATTCTGTAAGTGTAAGTTTTTTTTCACTAACACACTGCTTGTAAATGTTTTCAGTTTAAGGTTCAACAAGCCCCTAAAAGACGCTATAGTCAGCGAAAATTTCATTCCTTTGATACTTCATCTTCAGAAACCCAAATTAAAAATCGGACTTCATATCTGTGTTTTGAAGATGTCGAACTTATACAATAGCTATTAAAATTGTGCTTAGTGAGGTAAACGAAGTCAACTATAAGGTATTTAGGCTGATGTCGTTATACATGTTAAAATAGTTCACAGAACATGTCAATAAAGATATAAATTTTATTTATTTTATAACAATTACACTGTGTAGGACTGACACCTGATATAGCTAGTACCGAAGCGGGCATGGACGCTAGGCACAGACAAGCCACGGGATGTTTTCCGATATTTCTAGTATTTTCTGGTAGCGTAGAGACAAATAAAGGAGCACAACAGTTATACAATGAACAATGTTGTATGCGATGCAGATGATTTGTAATCTATTTCATGCGATCTGAAGATATTGGTAAAAAAATGACTACAAAGTACCGGTACAAAATAATTTACAAAGAAAGAAGAAGAGATAACTATTAAAGTGTGACATATACGATGATGAAGCGGACGTTACTGGCATATGTAGTTCAGACCGGGATAAACAATTAATTGTCATATGTCTAAATGTAGTCATTACGATGTAATTGACTTAAATGATTTTTCGTCTGTGTACGGCGAATAGTTGTTGATACATTTTCAAGTGTACGGCGACTAGCATGTTAACAGTACGGCGAATAGCTGTACTAACATAACCATGTTTAGAGCGAGCATTTGTACTAGCTACGTGTTTATGTTGTTATACCATTGGAGTAACATACCAATGATGTTGCTTTGTAACACTTTTGAATGATATCGTAAAGGGAAAGGGTTAAGAATGTCGAAAGTCTTATAAATGCCGAGTTAAATAATGATAAGGAGTACCCATTTTTCACATGCTATAACACAACATAAGCTGTGACCATGACAATAGTGGTAGAGAGAGTTTAGTTGTATTTGTTCAGATAGACTGATTGCTTTATTATGACTCGCAAGCTACAAAGCAGCGAGCAAACATGCTTTTAAACACAAATAGGCAAGAAACAAATACCAAATTGATGATAAGGAAAAAACAACCTATTCTCAAACCAGCCGTCAACCGTTCCCTTAATAAGCAAACAAACATGTAACTTATAAAGAAATAAGCAAGTAAACACCAACACAAATCCGAAACAAGCCAAATTACCAAACACACAATCTAGCATACAACTCTTAACAAGCAAAAAAACAGAATAAAACAAAATAACAGAACAAATACACAAGCAAACACACCTTTTACAAATCCAGCAAGTAATCATCACCAAACATACAAGTAAAATACAAGCAACAAGAAAGCAAACAAAGAAAGAAAATAAACAATGGAACGGCAATTAATACAAACAAGCTAGCAAACAACCCAAAAAACCAAATAAAAATGTCGCCAGTAAAACTCAATTTGCAACATACCGACATCAGGATATACCGCCGCAAATTTCGAAAAACAGTGGGGTTATCCCAAAATTTAAATGCTGAGATTGAGATGGATATTTATAGATATTTTCAAATCTGTTATTAAAAAAGAAACAAATCTTTATCATACAACGGTTATCTAAACCTTGAACTGTGCATCCTGCACACAAAATAATGCGATGTATTTTTCATAATTAACCAATATATGAAGGAATTTTGATAAAAATCCTGTCAAAAATGAGGTCACTAAGGAAATAACAAATAATTTCTATAAAAGTTCACGTTGAACTTCACCTAAGCCTAGACATCATGAAACACGAATCCGTTCGCGCTACTCGTACACTTGATGTATGCCGATTTGTCCAACTCCTTTGTAGGATTAAAATTGCTTGAGCGATTACAAGAATTATGTTAAAAGGAACAGTGACCTTGACCTTGGCACACCTTAACAAAATCTCTTTGACTATGATCCTTTAAGAAATAACGTCACTAGAGCGATGGCAATATGTGACTTTTTATATATCATGTCCGAGGACTCGTTTCGACCAAAAAAATATAGTATAGGTGAATATCACTGTATAGGCCCTTTTCGTCACAAGTGTGCATGAAGAAGTGCAAATAATACAATTTAGACAACTGTAGTTAAAGCTGCTGCTAAAACAAAAGATAAACGTGATATTGACATTTACGAAGATGTTTAAAAACCATCATGTTTCTTCCGGTAAATAAGCATTTTATTTTATTACATCACAAGTCATTTCATCATAAATACAGTAATATATTTTTATAACAAATGAAACAAATAAAACCCACTGATTTTGTTGTTGATTTTACGTGCCCGATGACGGGAAGTTTACACGAGCGTACTTTGTAAGATGAACTTATCAAGACCATGTTTGATGCATAGATTACTTCTACAGGAACCATGACAAGAAAAATGCTACAATGCAGACCCATCATTTTGATTGGTTTTTTTTTTGTTTCAAAATGGTTCTTCTGCCCATTACAAATAAAACGCATTTAACTGTTGATGTTCACGCAAATTCAAATCCTATTGAATACGTTTGTCAAGGAACAACGAAAATTACATGAAAGCAGTATGCATTGTTTTCATTTAGATGTTAATGTTTGCCCTTATGTTGCATTCCCGAAATGCAATATTACATTCACATCCAAATGTTACACACAAGTCCATGTCCACACTAGCAAATGACTATATTATCGGACTATTGTCCGTTACTAACAAAGTACCAAGTAGTTTTCAGTTTTGACATTCCTTGTCTAATTAAACACAGAAATGTTCCAGCATTTTTTTTACAGTTACTACTTTTCTTTAAAGAATTTAAATTCGATATTTTGTAATTCGGATGCGATCCTAGTTGATGAACTTGTAACTTATAAATCTTCCAATGGTAAACAATTTTAGATTTTTCGTAAATTAAACTTGTGTCTGTGAATTATAACGTCATGCCTATAACGTTCAGACGTGGAGAGACACATTTAAATGCTAACATGAAAAAAAATCCTTTACCGAAGATTTCTCAACAATGGATTCAAATGGAAAACAATTAGTTTTCGAAATGGTTGTAGAACTCGTCCCAGTTAAATATAACAACTTTTTTGATTTTCTGTATTTTTCTTTTTCTTTTCTAGTCGTGGAGCAGTGAATTTCTTTTGCGTCACACTGTTTGGATCGACATTAATGATTGGATTATTCTTGATTTCTCCCTCTCTCGGTCCTGTGGTACTAACAAGGACAGTATACCCTCCAAGGTTAGTGAACACCAGTGAATCACCTATACGGGTGCATTATGTTAATCGCCCACCATGGATAAGTATGGATATTTTTTCCAAGTGTGGTCACAAATGTTATATGACAGCTGGCGGAGGAAATTCGTACAGTGACAGTGAGGTTGTCGTCTTCCATACACCATACGTCAAAGAAAAACATCCTCCAAAGAAAATAGGACAAATTTGGGTTTTCCACTCGTTGGAACCACCATGGCTGCATTGGTGCAAGTTTAATAACTGGAAACGTAAATTTAACTGGACAATAAGTTATAGGAGAGATTCGGATATTTTATATGCATACGGAGGGTTTAAAACCAGAAACATAAATCAAAGTGCTTGGGATAATGAAACAAGTCAGTTTAGCGAAAAGTGGCTAAAGAAATCGAAAGACATTGCATGGATGGTTTCCCATTGTGGAACGCCTTCGAAACGTGATGATTATGTCAATATACTGAAAAACATGACCATGGTGGATATTTACGGAAAATGTGGCAATAAGAAATGTCATCGAGATAAAACTGAGGAGTGTTTAAAGCCATATAAATTTTATCTGTCTTTTGAAAATGAATTATGTGAAGACTACATTACGGAAAAGAGTTTTAAAATGTACAACTCTTTGTTGGGTCCCATACCTATAAGTCGGGGTGGTTCCAACTACTCAATGTACCTTCCGCCCGGATCTTATATAGACGCGTCTAAATTTAAACATATTTCTCATCTTAAAGCTTATGTTGATTCTGTATCCAGGAACATCACAAAAGTGAAGGAATATATGAGCTGGAGAAAACATTATAAGATATATGTAGATCATTCAATCCCATTCTGTGAGCTTTGTCGAAGACTTCATTTAAAGGATAAAGATAAGTACAAAAGAATGTATGAAGACATTGGAGAGTGGCACAGGGGAGATAAATCAAAAAGAAAAAGTTGTCGAGAGCCTCAAGACTTGTTATGAATAAAATATATAACAGGAAGATGTTGCAGAATGACAGTTTTTTACATACGCTGCATCAATAGCAGGCTACTTTACTTGTGAGTATACCCCGGTATCAATGCCGGACATGTACGAGCCGATTTCCGGTTCCTGTTTACAGGACACAACGAATAAAGACATTATTGGGTATTATAGTTACATTATGATCAGGTATTTACCAGTATATAGACATTTTAAGCTATAAATTTAACCCAATAACAATGTTCTTTCGTAAAAATGTCATAAAATAAATGCTGTTTTTACATTGAATTAGAATTTTTTAAAGGAGATAGTTAGGAAAATGTTTCATTGTATAAAATGCACTAATTCAAACCCCATTGTTGCAAACAGTATATCCAACCTCCTTTGATTCGAGTGGTTATGAATCCTTTCTGACATTCCGAATAAACTGCATGTTATAGTTTGAAGATGTTTTTTTTGTGATTTTGCTTATTTTCTTTTATTCCAAACTGAATATGTGGTGAAATATGGTCCTTTCGACCGCCAACATCGGCTTTAAAAATTATAAATATTCAAACATTGCATGTTATTTATGGATTAAAGAAGATATCAACCACAATTCAATTGCCGAATGTCTTTACTTTTTTCTGAATTAATTTTGTTTAAAACATTATGAAATCGCGCCACAAAAACAAAGCAAGCACGGTATACTGGAAAAATAGGAAAGGGTGCATTTGTCAAGACACTAGGACACATTTGTTTAAAGTCGGCTCGGTAAGTCAACGTCTGGGCCCGTATTCATAAAACCGTTTTCATGCTCAAGCAGGAATGCCGTGTTCAGACCATCTTTTAAAAATTCAAAATTAAAAGTCTAGACATTTTAATCGCTATTTGACTACAAAATTACTCCAAAACATATCAACAAGAAACTGCGTTTGAGCAGATCGAGATTCTGTTTTTGTGCTCAGGGATATGAGCAGACGAAATTCATAATTAGACACTAGGACACATTTGTTTAAAGTCGGCTCGGTAATGCAATGTCTGGGCCCGTATTCATAAAACCGTTTTCGTGCTCAAGCAGGAATGCCGTGTTCAGACCATCTTTTAAATATCTCACACGAAATCCTGCTAAGAATTCAAAATTAAAAGTCTAGACATTTTAATCGCTATTTGACTACAAAATTACTCCAAAACATATCAACAAGAAACTGCGTTTGAGCAGATCGAGATTCTGTTTTTGTGCTCAGGGATATGAGCAGACGAAATTCATAGTTAGACGGAAGAAGGTGAAAGCGTTCCCTATTCCTCACATATATAATGATGTCTCCTTGTCAAGGTCTAAGAGCAGACTCTATCATCAACATATATCGATTAGAACGCACCGAGTACAAGTCTTCGTTCCCATGACACTTTTTAAAGATTGGCTATTAAGGTGATGAATTTCAACGCGAAAATTACAAAATACCACATTTAAGAACATTTTGTACCTGGAAGAGGTAGTTGACTGTGAGTAAGAAGAAATAATAATTCGTCAGATGTATTATCATTTACATTGTGGCCATCCATTCCCAATCTTGTAAGAACTGGATACAACAAATAAACAAGCTTACTATTCTTCATGGTTTATAAAAAGAAAGGAGGAAATTATGAGCTTTTCAAAACTTCTTTTTCTTTAGTAGGGAACTTGATTTCAATGTGGCATGCTAAAATATTTTAAAAAGTAAAAATCGCTTTATAGATTAAATAAACACAGAATAGTTTTCCGTCATATTTTTGTTGGTAATTACTACATAAACTTCTCTTATTCTGCGGGATTTTTCCTATGGTTTTCACTCTTCACATTATATTTACTCCTTTGTCTATCTCATCATGTTTAGTTATTGCCGTTCGGTGTTACTGTGATTAATGGATTGTTATCACACGTGCCTACTATCATTTTGTTTCCCGGACTGTTTTTAAGGACTCGCACTGTAAAAATGTGTTATTTTACTAGATTGTTTGTCATGAAGTATGATATTTCCCTGAATTGTTCAATAATAGTCACTGACTGTAGTGTCACCAGTGTGACAGTAGTTTAAATGTTGTAAATAACTTGGATTTGTCAAACACATGTTTGTAAAAACAAGGTCCATTCAAACGGTATTTACTCTTATTAAGTGTTTTCCAGCGTTCAATATGGTTATCATCCAGATGCAAATACCTTTGTTATCTTGGTTAATCGTTAGTCCAGTGTAAGACCCGTCTGGAGAGAGCGAGAAATGTTTTGCAGAAATGTTTGTGCTTGACGCTGTCATCAATGACAGGAAATGGGCTATAATCGGAGCATATAGACCACCCAATATGGGCAACGAACTCTTTAAAGACCAGATGACCATTGGTCTAGATAGGATTAGTACCAATTTTGACAATATCATGATATTAGGTGATTTAAATTATGACATGTTGAATAAAGGAAAAAGTTCCACATTAAATGATGTATGCGACATTTTCGATTTACATAACATTGTTAAAGATGAAACCTGTCATGTGATAAACTGTTCTCCTTCCCTTGTAGATGTTATTTTAACAAACCAACCCAAATACTGTATGCGTGTCACGAACTGCAGATGTGGTATCTGTGACTGGCATGATATGGTAGGATGTGTTATTAAGGGCAACACACCTAGATTTGAAAAAAAATCATGTACATACAGAAGCTTCAAAAATTTTGATGAAACTTCTTTCTCAGATGACGTAAACAAAGCCCCTTTTCATGCAATGTATGTTTTTGATGATATAAATGATATATACTGGGGCCATGAAAAACTACTGCAGGATCTAATAGATGAGCATGCACCCCTCAAAGAACGAAAGGCCAAGCCTAGTAAGCTCCCATACATGAATGGAAATTTAAGAAAAGCAATATATAAAAAACGTATGCTATATAACAAGTACACTAAGATCAGAAATAGCTATAACTGGGAGCAATACAGAAAACAGAGAAATCTGGTCAATAAATTGAAGAAACTATCTATGACCGAGTATTTTATAGAAAGGTGTGGTGGGGGACCAGAGTCTAAAGACTTCTGGCCAACCATCAAACCTTTCCTATCTAAAAAGTCCCTCGGCAGTGATAATGATATTTTGCTGTTGGAAAACAACAAGGTAATATCTGACCAAATATGTGTGAGTAAACTTTTTAACGACTTTTTCGCAAGTGTCGCAGATGACATTGGTAAAAATTTAAATGGCTGTGACCTGGAAACACACTCAAGTGTGGAAGACATAAAAGTCAAAATAAATATCCAGGAACATTTTTCATTTACTCCAGTTTGCAGTAAGACAGTGCAAAAAGTCTTATCAAAAATGCAAAAGAAAAAAGCCACTGGAGTAGACGGTATATCAGCAAAATTTTTAAAAACATGCATTGATCCAATCAGTATTGCTTTTGCAGATATGATAATTTTTTCTTTTAATCAATGCATTTTTCCGGAAAATCTAAAATTAGCACAGGTCATTCCTATTTATAAGAAAAAAAGACCCACTAGAAAAGTCAAATTATAGGCCTGTGAGTATTCTTCCAAGTATTTCGAAAGTTTTCGAAAGGATCATACATGATCAAATGTCCACATTTTTTAACGATAGTTTTCACCCGTTTCCCAGTGCCTACAGGAGGGGTTATGGGTGCTAGACCATCCTGCTGCGCATGCTGGAGGACTGGAAGAGGGCCTTGGAAGACCACCACCATGTTGGTGCTATACTAATGGACCTTTCCAAGGTCTTCGACTGTCTTCTGCATGACCTGTTCCTCAGGAAACTCTCTGCATATGGAGTAGGGGAGGGGGCTGTGCGTCTCCTCCAGAGCTACCTGGGGGACAGGAGCCAGAGGGTGAAGCTGGGGCCCAGCACCAGTGAATGGAGACTACTGAAGAAGGGGGTACCCCAGGGCTCCATACTGAGACCACTGGTTTTTAATATATTTATTAATGACATATTTTATAAGATTAAGGACTCTGTATTGTACAATTATGCTGATGATAACACTTTAAGTTATGAAAACAAGAATGTTGATGTGTTAAAGAAGGACCTTGAAAGAGAGGTTAAGGCCTGATCGATTGGTTTAAATCTAACAGTATGCAAGCCAACCCAGATAAGTTTCAGGCAATTTATTTTGGAAAAAATCAAAATGATTTCACAAATTTCGAAATTGAAGGAGTAAAAATTGACTGTGAAGAAAATGTAAAGCTACTGGGAGTAAATATAGATTCAAAATTAAAGTTGAACCAACACATCTCAGAGCTATGTAGAAAAGCCTCAAAACAGTTGGCGGTACTCAAGCGAATTGGAAACTCCTTACCAAAAAATGTAAAAATGTTAATTCTCAAATCCTTTGTAATGTCAAACTTTAATTTTTGTCCTGTTATTTGGCACTTTAGTAATAAATCTAGCACAAACAAGATGGAAAAAATCCAGGAGAGAGGACTCCGTTTTGTACTAAATTATTATATCTCAGACAACAAGGATATTTTATCGAGCACAGACTCATATTATTTACATATTACTCGCATGAAACTCATTGCTTGTGAAGCTTTTAAATTTGTTAATAAGTTATCTCCTGACTACCTACAAGAAATAATAAATATAAAATGTTCATCTTAATCATTAAGGAATGAAAATACAGCACAGCTACCAAGGGTCAACACCACCAGGTATGGAAAGAGGTCCTTCCGCTATGAGGGCGCTCGCATATAGAACAGCCTGCCGAACGAATTGCGTAAAGTGGAGAACTACTCCGAGTTCGGCAGACTGATCCGTAGGTGGGACGGGCCCGAGTGCAGATGCACTTTATGTGTTGGTTAGCGTTTTTGGCTACCTATTTTTTCCTGCTTCGTATGTGTCCTGTGCTGGCTAAAGTGTATTTTTCTCTGTAACGTACAGCTTTACATATGGCTCTGTGCTTTTTGTCAGCTTTGTAGTTTACAATTTGATGCTTTTGTCATATGTTTATTTTCTGCAAATGTGCTGTACATGCTTTATATGCTTCATATTTTTACTGTTTAACGTTTCAATATGTATGTGTATTTTGTATTTTTGTGGGTTTTTTTCTTGTTATGTATTTTGTTCTTTACATGTGTTTGTCGAAATACAAGCTCTTCGTAGCTTATGTTGTATGTTTATAATATTCGACGTAAAATAAAGCTTCTGTATCTATATCTGTATCTGTATGGGATTTGATGGAAATGTGGGATGCGTTGGAAGTATTGGAGTCAGAGAGTGAATAACGGTACGAAAGAGTTGTAGATGTGGATACTATGAAATACTATATATTAATGTTGATTTGTGAAGTATTTTTCATACACGTGCCAATGTAGATCGTCGTATTTTATTTGGGTTCAACGGGTACTACGTTGCGAGCAACGGGTGTGGCGCCGTTACCTCTTCGGAGTCCGCTGGGGAACGGGTGTTGCCCCGTTGAGCTCGTGCATTGCCCCGTTGATGTTAGCGTTCTTACCAGGGGCGCAGAGATTCCTTGGGGCGTTGGGAAATCACTTGCGATCGGATATTCTTAGGGAAAGGTTGGTTTATGCGCTGCTAGCAGCTACTACATCTTTGGATCGTTCCAAAACCGTGTAGTTGT